AAGAATAGTGACAGTGATGATGACGATATAGTGATGTCTCTCAAATGGACATGAGACTTATCTTGTACACGTCCTCGATAGTATAGAGGCTAGTATCTCCGACTATCAAGTGGAAGGGTTCGTCATTACATGTTTAGTGAACTACGATAGTGTTGACAAATCGCCTCCACTGCCTTGACTAGCAAGGCTTGTCATCATCGTCCACAAAGGAAAAAGTAAGGGATGCTTTTCACCAATAAATGGAGTGCCTGTGCCTCGATTCCAGTACCACTCGCGTTCTAAGTGGGCGCTCTGTCATCTCACATATAGAGCCACATTCGAATTTGAACCACCCTAAAATAGCAACTGTATCCCTAATATATGTGCGCTTGTGAGCATTTTTCCTGTTTTTGTCCTCTATTTTGACGTAAACGGGGTTCAGAATTGAAGGTTTTCAGATTTCAGACATTCAGACAGTGGATTTGATGTTTTGTAGGGAGCCTCGGACAATTGGGGCGGAGGAGGGCTAAATAAAAGCCAGGAGCCATGACCCCAAATCCATGCAAATGATATCTGAAAACGGTGGTGGTGATTATGCTTCACTAAATCCACTTGAAGCGACGCGCTCTTAGGTGACAGTGGTGAAAACGAGGGCACATAATGGTGTGAATAAGCAAATGGAAGATATGAAGTTTGGTTGTGCGAAAGAGATGCAGCACTAGAAGGTATGACAAAAATGGGAAGCAAGGAGTTATGTCACAATCGATTTGCTGGTTTGATAAATTGTAACTTTATGCTGAGGATAACGGCTCTCACTGACGACGCAGGCAAAACGTCTGGGAATGTGCGAGGTCAACTATCCAATGCTGACAACCATCATGAATATAGAAAAACTGGATTTCGAAGATTCTTTTTATAAGTACGAAGACCAAGATTGTGTGGTCTTTTGTGTAGTCGCAGTCTCTTTTCGCTGTATGCAAGTTGTTTGACCTTATTTTCTCAACTTGATCATATTGGTAGGAAGACTTGGATAAACGCACCTAGTCCGGAGCTCATCATATGCATGATAATTTCCAGAATCGGACTGTGGGCGTGGTACATTCCCATACGTTTCGCCAGCATTGTCAGTGAGCATTGCCAGTAAGTCCTGCCAGTCTTAGCACCACACTACAACTCGTCAAATAGACAGGTGAAGCCGATTCTTTGATAAATTGTCTGCTAAACAATTGTGTTATCTCTCCTCCAGCCCTGGGCTAATCACCAATCCTATATCCTCGTATCACGCCTACATTATCACAATTTTTACTTGCTTGTTTAAATGTGGTGTGGTGTGCGGATCTCATGGGAACTCTCTACACTCCACGCTGACTTTCTCATCCTCTCATCCCCCTTTACTCTTGTGCTGGGAATATTGAACAGTCTGCCCTATTGTTATACCGTCCTCGAAAGGAGACTGCGACTATACCCGAGGCCACAACATCTTGGTCTTCACATCTTCAATAGGGCAGACTGTTCAATATTCCCAGCACAAGGGTGAAGTGGGATGAGAGGATGAGAAAGTCAGCGTGGAGTGTGGAGAGTTCCCATGAGATCCGCTCAAAAGGACACACCACACCACATTTAAATAAGCAAGTAAAAATTGTGATAATGAAGGCGTGATACGAGGATATAAGACTGGTGATTAGCCCAGGGCTGAAGGAGAGATAACACGATTGTTTAGCCGACAATTGATCAAAGGATCGGCTTCACCTGTCTATTTGACGAGTTGTAGTGTGGTGCTAAGACTGGCCGGACTTAATGGCAATGCTCACTGACTATGCTGGCGAAACGTATGGGAATGTTCAACGCCCACAGTCCGACTCTGGAAATTATCACGCATACAATTGACTCCGGACTAGGTGCGTTCCCATAATTCTTCCCACCGATATGACCAAGTTGCGGAAATAAGGTCGAACATCTTCAATCCCTTCATGGCTTTAAACGAAATCTAAGATACTCCAACATAATTATTCATGAATACTCGAGGGCAGAGGACGCAGGACTATGTACGTTACGCAAAGTCTCTCTGCCGCTCCTTCCGAGTTGCGAAAACAAGGTCAAACCATCACTACAGTTGGGGGAGATTATTGACAAGCCAATGCTATTCAAATTTTATTTAGCGTCACTAATCAGGCTCTAGTGACTTTCGTATTAATTATATTTCCTGTAAAGCAACCTGGGGCTTTTGGAACATAATAAATTGAGATTTCTTAGCTCAAATTCATGTTAATCTGTAATATTGTTGTGGAGGCTGTATTTTTGTTAGAAGGGCTACTATCAAATGTGAGAACAACGAAAGTAAATTATCTGAAACCATTTAAAGTTTTCTTTGCCCTCGAGGGCTTGCTCACGACATTTTTATTTCTTAGGTTTACTTTTGATTCTAAAATGACTAGACCTGTTTTCTTTAGAAGTTCCGAATTTTCTTATTACCCTCTGTTTACCCTGCAATTAGTAACCAAATCTCAATCCTTGCCTTTATAATTTTGCTGTGATGCTCTTGTTCCCTTACTAGCTTCTTTTGCTCCATAAACTGATCCGTAAGTTTTTTTTCCCGAATCCCTCAATGTGAATTTAAAAAAGCCGATTTTTCTTATACTACATCTTAAAGATATTGTGATGACTCTAGTAGTTGATGGTAGATGAGTGATTATAACTAAATTAAAAATTTTACAAACGAGGTAAGAATGAGACTTTCTGGCCTAGCGGTTTCCAGTGAGGACATCTAGAGAGGGGAACAAGCACAAGATCAGGCCTGTTTGAGGGAATCTGGTCGCTAAGGCACATTATGACAGGTTTTTAGACCTTTTTCGAATGATTTCTCGATGCTTTGTCAGCATGCTGTGGGGGAACTAAGCTAGCTAATTATGCTGGAGAGATGTTCCTCGATACAGATATCATATGTGTACATATCGTTATAAGGTTATTCGTGGCAGGGTTATTGTGACTGAGGGCTATGAATCACTATAAAATTAGGATGAAGATTATCTTTATAGCATAATAGATCTTTGGTTGATTGAATTGACTCCACTTCTTATTGAATAGTTCTGGTTTAGTGCTAAGCTTTTCTTTTTCACTATTTATGCCTGCCTCGATTCTGATAAACACTCGAGTAATGGAAGAACATTTCTTACAATGACAAGAGGTGAAACCAGCCTTGCTTCCTATTGAAGTTGTTTGACCTTGTTTTCGCAACTTGGTCACATTGGTAGGGAGATTTAGAGGAACGCACCTATTCAGGAGTTCATTGTATGCATGATCATTTCCAAAGTCGGACCATGAACGTGGTACTTTCCCAGACGTTCCGGCATCGTCAGTGAATGGTGCCATTCGTAGCACCATAGTACAGCTCGTCAAAGAGACAAGCGAAGCCCATTCCTTGACTAAAAGTGTGCTCAACAGTTGTGGTATCTCCCTTTCTGCCCTAGTATATTCAAATTTCCTATATCCTCCTATCACGCCTTCACTGTTACACTTTTTACCGTGCTTATTTTGATGTAGTGTGGTGTGCTGCTTCGAGCGGCATTCATGAAAACCCTTCACACTACGCTATAGTTTTCACTCCCTTCACCCTTGTGTTGAGAATGTTGACCAGAGTCTGTCATATTGTTACGTAGTCCTCCTTCCCTGGGTCTTATCAGAGTCTCCCTCTTTTCGCGTAGGATCCTTCTGCCATCTCCCTGGTGCACGTATCTCACTCGACCCCTGCCCCCCCATCCGTGCTACTCGAGGCGTTATTCGCCCTCCCCTGCGTCTGGGTGGCTAATTTGAGTCTAAAGCATCTGAGTAAGCCTTTGCTACATGGACAACGTCTTTTGTAAAACCTACTGTGAGCTAACTAGCTCCAATCGCCGTCGCGTCTATCCTGTCTATCCCTAATACCAAGTCTATGTCTTGCATGCTCTAGTTTTTTGTGTGTTAACTCACAAATGTTGTAGTACTGCTTGCTTTGGTTAGGTCCAATGTTGAACTACAATGTTTGTGGGTTTGTCTTCATATTGCCCATGCACTACTGTGTTCGTTTGAACACATCTATTGGTTATACCTGCACCAATTTTTGTATATTCCTTCATTTTTTATTGTACAAATCTTATTCTTGTTTTATGTAACAGTTTCTACCTCTGACACTCCATTTCATGATGGTGGTCATTTTAATCAGCCGACGTACTTTGGTTTCTCTCTTTATACTGGTCGCCACGCCCTACCAACTAGGGGTGAGTTCAACTCTCATCATCTGCTCTCCCGACTCGCTTTGCTCACTCTGCACTTTCCCAACCTCAGACTCATTTGGAGTGTGACTCCTTACTGTACAGCAGAATTGTTCTCAGAATTGAAGATGGGCAGACTGGAACCAACAGTAGGAAAGCTCCCTCAGGTCAGTTTTGCCCGTTCTTTTATTCATAATTTACATTCATTTATTATAATGCGTCTTACTCGTTTGCCACGATTTTTAACCAAGGTCTTATCACTTTGGATCTTTGTTATAATGCTTTCAATTAACCTAGCCAAGCTACCTGAAGCTGCACTTTCTGATATTTTACTATTATCAATATTGCATCTGAATACGATTTGCTGGCAGTTGATGACATGGAATCATCCTATTTTCTACACATTCCTGGGGCACGTGCGCTAAAATTCTTTTAGAAGTTTTGCATGGGGCTATTTTCACTCCTCACTTATTATTAACTTAGGAAAGACTCGTCGAGGTTGCTGTCTTATATATGCAGACTTATTTAGACATTCAATTCACGTTGAGATAAGAGTATACAAGATTGCTTTCTATGCACAAATAGCAACGGCTATTGCTATTTTTTCCTCGATTTTTGCATGATCTTGCTGCCAAAATGATAAGATTTTTTTTGCTTCAAATATGCATTGAGGTTCGATATCTTCAAGATCAAATTTTTCACACTTATAGCACTGACTAGAATATTTTTAATATATTTCCGTACAATCTTATTTTGTCTAAGGTGCTATCATGTAGGCTCCGGTTCGTCTAATAAACTTGATTGGATCGTTTGCTTCCATTAGTAAGTTTTTTAGACTACTAAATCTGAGATGAGAGCCATATATCGTTTTACCACATTGATATGAGTAGGCCTCGTATTTCCATTGAATTTCACGTAGCATTTCTTCCAAAGGGTATTTTAATCTAGGATGGATTTCAGTTTCGACTTTCCATAGGTATTATCAGCATCCCCAGCCGAATTCGAACCATGATAATGCAGTGTGCAACCTCGACATTATGCTTGATTATTCGATAAAACTGAATTACTTTTTCACTGGATTTTTCCCGTATTCGGATGCTGTAATTTCCTTCCTTTAGATTAATGTCAGCAAGGCCATGGAACAAACTAATCCTTATTATAGATATCGTTTGACCTTGTTTTCGCAACTTAGTCATATTGGCAGGAAGACTTAGGTGAACGCACCTAGTCTGGAGTCTATTGTATGCATGATAACTCCCAAAGTCGGATCGTGGACGTGGTACATTCCCATCGGCATCGTCAGTTACGGTATCTCTGGGCTGGTATCTCTTCTACACTGGGCTATTCACATTTCATATATCCTCGTACCACCCCTTCACTGTTACAATTTTTACCGTGTTTGTTTAGATGTAGTTTGGTGTACTCTTTTGAGCGGCTTTCATGAGAACCCTCCACACCCGAAGCCGGCTTTCTCACCTCCCCTTCACTCTTGTACTGGAAATGTTGATCAGAGTTCGCCATATTGTTACGCAGTCCTCCATCCATAAGTCTTATCAGAGTCTCTCTCTTGCCCCGTAAAATCCGTCTGCTATCGCCATGGTTCAAGTATTTTACTCGACCCCTGCCACCCCATCTGTGCCAGTCGAGGCGTTATTTCCTACGCTCTACGTCTGAGTGACTAATTCGAGACTAAAGCCTCTGAGTAAGCCTTATGGTCAAACCTTTGCTATGTGGACCACGTCTCTGGTAAAACCTACTGTCAGCCAACTAGCTCCATTCTCCGCCGCGTCTATCCCATTTCTATGACTTCCTATACCCTAGTCTCTTGTGTGCCAATCCACAAACGTTGTGGTTCAACATTGAACCTAATCTAAGCAAGCAGTACCACAACATTTGTGGGTTGGCACACAAGAGACTAGGAAGTCAGGGACTTGGTAGTACGGATAGAAGCAGGATAGACGCGGCGGAGACTGGAGCTAGTTGGCTGACAGTAGGTTTTACTAGAGACGTGGTCAACGTAGCAAAGGCTTGACCATGAGGCTTACTCAGAGGCTTTAGTCTCGAATTAGTCACTCAGGTGCAGCTTGTGGGAAATAACACCTCGAGTAGGACAGATAGGGTGGCAGAGGTCGTGTGAAATACTTGAACCAGGGCGATAACAGACGGATTCTACGGGGCAAGAGGGAGACTCTGATCAACATTTCCAGCACAAAAGTGAATTGGGGTGAGAACGCCAGCTTCGGGTGTGGAAGATTCTCATGAAAGCCGCTCAAAAGGGCACACCACACTACACCTAAACAAACAAGGTAAAAATTGTAACAGTGAAGGCGTGGTACGAGGATATAGGAAGTGTGAATAGCCCAGTGTTTAGCACACGTTTTGTCAAAGGATCGGCTTCACTTGTCGCTTTTGAAGAGTTGTAGTATGGTGCTAAGAATGGCAAAACTCACTGACGATGTCGACGAAACGTCTGGGAATGTACCACGTCCACGGTCCGACTGGAAGTTATCATGCATACAATATACTCCGGACTAGGTGCATTCATATAAGTCTTCCTACCACTATGAACAAGTTACGAAAACAAGGTCAAACAACCTCTATACAACGAAAGGAGACTGCGACCACAAAAGGCCACACCACTTTGTTCTTCATATAATCCTTATTATATATTGGCCTTATTAAGTATATTTCCAGACCAATTGCCTAGCTGGTTCATTTAAGTTCCTCTGACCCCCTTTTTGACGACATTCGATGGATCTACTTTTGTATCAGGCTTAATGATAGTCACTCAAACTATTCTAAGCCTTGTAGTAGTTTATATAAACATTATTTTCCCTAATAATGAATTATTAAAATGTCCAGGTCTTATGAAAAAATAAGTGGTAGATTGATTGTGGCATATGGTACGCCTCAAAGACAGTTCTTCTCGTTATCTTTATTAGTCGGCTTTCTGGCGTGAATGACTGCTGAGTAAGGATACTGTCAATGTGGACTCAAATTTCAGACCGCAGATGCCCCAAGTGACCTTATATTATATACTCCTTGCAATTATCAACATTTTCCTACTACATCCTCAAGTATTTGTGCTACCTTATTACTCGTCCTTCTGATGTGACATATTTACTTAGTCATAAGCAACTACTTAATTGTTATCTATCATAAGGATAAATCCTTATTCACAAGAAATACGAAACACTGTTCTTCATAAGGTTTTAGAATTTCTTCTGCCCCCCCCACTTATGCTGTGAGATTACTGACATACCTTGCATCTCGTTTGAGAAGGCAAGTTGACGAGATTTGTAGATTGGCTTCATTTGATACCAATAAGTGTTTAGTGTTTTTTAATTATTTTTCGTGAATAATGGTTTCTGGCTATAACGATGCCCGTCACATGACGGACGAAAGCTCAGCACAGTCATCAGGGTCGTAGAATGGTGAGCCGAGGTCTTCTTTGCACAACTCAACGGACAAAAGTCCAAGGCAACCTTCCTTCGGTATCCAGTGAGGCCAAGCTACGAATCCCTTCCACTTGCCTTCTTAAACAAATGAAATTTATGCCAGTATAAACTTTTGTATTTTATTTCTTGCTATTTTCCTAGTTATCGAGATCTCTTGATATTGTTGCTACATTCCGATCACGATACTGCTAATGAATGTGGGGTTTCGTACACACGGTGAAGCCTTTACTAGCAGTAGCATAGTTGTGATTCAAAGATAACTCAGATAATGAGACTGCTTAGTCATTTCCAGAATATAGGAAGAGCAGCTGGATTCCTTTGATTTCTTAATGTGAATCAACTTTTAATTTAGGAGGAAAAGCTGGTCAGAAATGTTTCGTGAAATTTCCTTTAAGTGTCTTTTAGTGGATATTGTACGAAACAATCCTTTGTTTTCTTCGACCCTACTGAAGTCGTGAGGAAAGAAGAAATCTTACTGTGAATTCATTAGGGCCGCAAGACGGTGAGCCTAGGACTGTTTCGCGCAACCCAACTCAAATGTTTTTATTGAGGACACTTATCCAATCACCTCCAACCAACATTTTCTTGAAAATGCAAAGTTGGGTTATCTTTTAGACAATTTCCTATTGTCTTTGGGTGGATTCCATTCAGGGAAAACTAGTGATCTTGTCTGGGATAACTACTCTGGAATAACCTTTAGTAAACTTTCCTTTATTAAAGGCAAGCCATGTGCCTGTGTACATTTGTCTGCATAATAGAACCGGATAACTTTTTTTAATGAGGCCTAAAGATTCTTAGTGTTTCGTGAGACAAATCCACGTTTAATAACTAAGAGCCTAGTCACCCTAGGTCGCTTAAGGTGATAGAGGTTATCTCACCTCGCTTTTACAACTTGATCGTAATGTCAGGAGGACATCGTTGGGCGCCCTGGTCCAAAGTCCTTTTCTGGATGTTAACATCCATTCCCTCTAATGGTGCACTCAAGAGAGACTGAAGTTAGAAATATCGAGAAGTGTGATCATCAGGAGCCTACGATTGACGGGCATGAAACTTTGGGATGACGAATTGGACAAATTCACTCAGATGTGCCTCGACAGCGGATACCTGAGACACAACTAATACATTTTGTAGATACGAAGAGTAACTGGGCTTCAATGAATCTCCTTAGCTAACACTTTTTGGAAGACTTTCATCGAAGTAA